ACAGCTAAAAACTGTCTAGCCAGCTGAGTACAGTGGAGGATAAGGAACATCTGTTTCTTCCCTTCCTCTGTGATAAATGAAGTTGGAAGCGAGGAGGAGTTCCTCACTTCCAGGTTTGCTTTGTTGTTCACAAGTCATTACCTTCAACTTGTAAAACAGTTTGATCAGATACTTTTAAGGGCAGAGGGGAGATCAAGGGCCTAATAGACCCCAAAACTCTCCATAAAGAGTACCTGTCACTGTTCATGCTGTTGTTGATCCCTTGTGATAGCAATAAAGTTGAATTAAGAAAAAAAGAAAGACAGCGTAAATAATTAATTTAAATAACATAAATAATAAAACCTATTTAAAGCACCCCCCATATGAATGGGTGACCTACATGCAAATGTGCATGTAGGTCACCCATTCATATGTAAACGGTGATTGCACCACACATGTGACATACCACCATGAACGTCCTATTGAGAGCAATAATTCTATCACAAGACCTATAAAGGTTTTTACAGTGTCACCTGAATGGGCAAAAGTGTGGGTGTTCCCCTGAACGTCTGAACACCCAAACAGCCAAAGTTCGGTCTAAACCATCTGCATATGAAGAAGCCAGCACCTGTTGGTGTCCAGCGGTTTATCTCTGCCCAGTACATTCAGCTGTCAGTGAAGGATTCCAGACTGACAGGTCCTCTGCTTACCTGGGTTGTAGCAGACAGAGCCTAATTCTGCATGTAGTGAGAGCAAGTGGAGCAAGCAAATAGAGGAGCAAGTGTTTCCAGTGATGTTGAGAGTGAGTTGTTGTAGACAGAAGTGGCCGGGGTGGCAAAGCGGTAATATTTTGTTGTAGGTTGTCAGTAGCAGAATAGAGAAGAGTTGATGTGTCAAAGGTATTGGGGACCCCCAAAAAAAATGGCCTTGAAAGGCCCTCATAATTCATAACAGGCCTTTCAGGTCTGTTATGAATTGTATTGAGGGACCCTACGCAAAAAAACTAGAAAAAGGAAAATAATGACTTGAGGTTTCCTCACAAATTGTATACCAGACTCTGGTCTAGTCAGGGTCTAGTATGGATTTTGAGGGGGGACCCTATTCAAAAATCAAGAAAAAAGGAGTGCATACATAGAAACTCTACTCATTCACAAAAAATGTAAGGTGAATATATACACATATACACAGTTTTTGACAAGTCCTTTAATAAAAAAAAAAAAAAATGTCCCACAGTGTGCAGCCATCATCAATCACATCATTCAGCAGTGCAGACCCATGTCAATCACAAGGGCCAACACATAGCAAAAGAAAAAAGAAAGCTGTTCTCGTTGATTCCTTTGGCTGAATGACAGTCTGCCACTAAAATGCTAACAAAGATGCAGTGTCTCCTTGATGATGTCATTGACCATACGTATATAATGATTTCATGGGGATTCCTCTAGCAAGGTTTCTTTCCTCATGTTTTGGGCATAACATATAGCCTAGTATGATTCCTGAAGGGAAGGGACACATACTCGTCTCCCCTATACCTTTTTCTGGCCTGCTAGGCTGCATGCTCAGATATACACTATATTGCAAAAAGTATTGGGACACCTGCGTTTACAAGCATATAAACTTTAATGGCATCACAGTCTTAGTCTGTAGGGTTCAATATTGAGTTGACCCACCCTTTGCAGCTATAACAGCTTCAACTCTTCTGGGAAGGCTGTCCACAAGCTTTAGGAGTGTGTCTATGGGAATGTTTGACCATTCTTCCAGAAGAATGTCGGACGAGAAGGCTTGGCTCACAGTCTCCACTCTAATTCATCCCAAAGGTGTTCTGTCGAGTTGAGGTCAGGACTCTGTGCAGGCCAGTAAAGTTCTTATACCCCAAACTTGAACATCCATGTCCTTTATGAACCTTGCATTGTGGACTGGTGCGCAGTCATGTTGGAATAGGAAGGGGCCATCCTCAAATTGTTCCCACAAACTTGGGAGCATGAAATTGTCCAAAATGTCTTGGTATGCTGAAGCCTTAAGTGTTCCCTTCACTGGAACTAAGGGGCCAAGCCCATCCCCTGAAAAACAATCCCACACCATAATTCCCCCTCCACCAAACTTTACACTTGGCACAATGCAGTCAGGCAAGAACCGTTCTTCTGGAAACTGCCAAACCCAGACATGTTCATCAGATTGCCAGAGAAATGTGATTCTTCACTCCAGAGAAGACGTCTCCACTGCTCTAGAGCCCAGTGGCGGCGTGCTTTACACCACTGAATCTGACACTTTGCATTGCACTTGGTGATGTAAGGCTTGGATGCAGCTGTTTGACCATGGAAACCCAGGCTCTGAGGAAGAGGCAAGTCCTCGAAATGCATCAGCCTATTGGATGTCTACACTCTCCATTGTGGACTGTTACTCAGCGCGGTGTTGACCCAGCTGTTCTTTTATGATGTGCCTTAACTTTATTCTTGTTTGTGAGTACAACACCTATTTTATTTCTTATTAAGCATTTTTTATGGTAATGCACTAGGCCTGTACGCCCTCTCTTTGTTCTTTCCTCATTCAGTATATTTGGATTCCCCCGGTCCATTTGAGGGCAGCAAGGTGTGCATGTTCCAGGACATTCTTAATGTGGTTGTAGCCTGCATCGAGTCCATCCCCAAGCGCAGGAGCATTTGTGTTTGCTGCTTGATTTTATACACCTGTAGCCATGGAGGTGATTGGAACACCTGAATCCAATGATCTGGGTGTCCCAATATTTTTGGCAATATAGTGTAACTCTGGTATGTATTTTTGAGCAGGACAATTTTTTCTTGATTTTTGCATGGTGTAACTCCCAAAAATCCATTCCAGACACAACATGTCTGTACAATTTAGAGGGGAGTCACTTTTTTGCATTGGTTACCTTTAAAACCTCTAGGGGCTGGTATGGATTATAAAATAATGATATTAAAAAAAATTTAGTTACGTTATGCATTTATCCTGATCTTCCATTGGACTCCAAGAAAGAAAGCCATGTCCTGATTTTATACACTTACTCTGATGCCACCCTTCAACACCCCCCCCCCCCCATCCAGGTAGAGACACACCCTTTAGAGGTCCTAAATATCCTTAAAAGGGTTGTGAATGCTTTTAACTCCTCCTATAGTTTCCCCCCCAAAGTACTCTCTTCTCCTCCTCTTCTTTATGTGCCCCCATAGCAAGCTGTGTGCTATGGGGTCACACATGCAGGGGCGCTCCCAAGATTTTCTGTGTGCGTACATTGACACGTAGAATGGCTCAGCCCTACCCACTGCTCTCTCCTCACAGGGTTTGTCTGACAGCAGCAGGAACCAATGGCTCCTGTTGTTTTTAGCAAAGCCTGCAAGAGCAGAGAGAGGGGAGAGAAAAACTGCAGCTGGGCACAGTGCTGGATCCATTCAGGACTCAAGTAAGTGTTTAGGGAGGGGAGACCACAGCAAGTGCTAAAACATTTTTTTACCTTAATGCAAGGAATTCTCAGCCAGTGATTGACCCTTTATCATGTGGTTGCTGACCAATCACAGTAGCATCACAATGATGTCATAAATGATGGCCATTGTTTACTACTGGTATTGTTTACTTACTGGTAATGTGATTGCTGTGATTGATTACAGTGAATACATGGTACCAGGGCCAATCACAATGACTTTGTGTCCCAATCTGTGATGATCTGTGTCACAGATCGCGCCTCTGTGTGCCCCTGAGTGTGTGTACTAGGTGCTTCTCTGAGGGAATATACCTGTAAAGTCTAGTACACACGATAAGAAAATTGTACGATACTGCATTTGAATCTATCGCACAATAATCTGATCATTGGTGCACAGCTTTCATCCAAAATTTTTTGAAGGGATAAGCATGAAAATTTTTCATGTAGGATACCAGATTATACAATTTCCATTTAATCAGTGCAGTTTTTGTCTGAAAATACAATATACAAATACATTACATCACTTCCAAATTTTTATTCTGTTGTACAAGAATGTTCATAACTTTAGTAACCTCTTCACTTTCGACATGAGACTAGCATGCAAAAAAAATGGACGGTCATTCGTCTCATCGTGTGTACGGGCCTTAAGTGGTTAAAGTGCATTGCTAAAAGTGCCAGGACACTTTGGATAGAAAATTACATTGCAAGACAGATTTACAAATCAGAAAACAGAGCCTCATATATATTATAAATAAAGCTGACACTATGTATAGATATTACAAATTTTACATAATATTAAGGTTTCACAGTTCCATCACGGGAATCTCCGATCCTACATTCCTCCTACCCTTACCTCTAACCTTCCAAAACAACACAACCTTAAGGGTAACTCCACTTTTGTGGGAAAAAAATCAACTATTAAAAAAATAAAATAGCATCTACAATTTCAACACAAACCATATTGTAATATAACATTAATAAAAATTGCAGCCATCACATCAAAGAATTGGTAAACTGCAATATAATGAATGTTTGCTTTTTGGAACACCCCTCCACCACCAGATCACACTCTCTTCCTGGAATACATACCCAGTCTATCTGTTGCAGACTTTGATATCCAGCCTATGCCACTCACTTCCACTAGACTGGCCTCTCTTGGAGGACATGGTGAGGCAAAACATAATGGGCCCTGCTCTCCTCCACTCAGTATAGACTAACTCCACTAATCTGAAACTTTACTTTTAACTTTTGTTATTATTATTTCTGCACTATGCCACTCAATGTGCATGTGAGTCTTGTGTTAAAAATGTTTACACATTTAATATTTTAAAAATCTAAAAAAATCTGTGTTTTCAGAACATTAACACGTTACATTCCTTTTGGGTACCAGCCATACATCATAAAAAAGCAGGAAACTCTGGGGAACATAAGACTGTGTGCTCAGCTAGAGAGCAGGTGGTATGCAAACTGTTTTCTAGGGAGTTTCTCCAATCATACAATTATACTTCTTGAATTTACTTCTTGAATAACTATTGACAAAATGGTTAATATGAGCATATATTTGTTTTTTTTGTGATTATTTATTATATTTAAAGTGTTACTAAACCCACAACAGTAAAATCAGTCCATATATGCAGTAAAGCGTGCTTGTTATACTCACTGTTAAACCTAAGGGGTTAATCCTCTGCATTGTGTAAAAAGGCTGTTTGATCCTGACTTCTCTGATCCTCCCCTTCTTCCAGTGTCACTCTCTTACCTCCTGATAAGACGTATCATGTGGAGTCACTCTGCACATGCTCAGTTTGGTGTGCATTGCTAGAGAGTTTTTTTTTCTTGGGAGAGTGCATGTGATAAGCACAGGGCCAATCAGCACTGTCCAGACAGAAGCCAGGTGTTCTGCATCCTCCTAGAGCAAAATGAAAACTCCTTCAACAAGCTTTACATGTGCTCTGCTGGACACTGATAGAAGTGACAAGTCTGCTCTAACTGCTGATGAGAAAAGGTATTTAGCAGTGTATATTGACTAAAATAATTGCACTTCCATGGTCTGTGTTCTGCGGGAGACCAGATATAGTGAATGCAGGGTCCTGGGCTTAGTAACACTTTAACATCTAATACTGATAGAACTTGGTTCACTGTTATGCCTTTGTGTGTCTTTCAGGCCTGGGATTTGACAGTCCGCACATGTGCTTACACAAATCATACAGTATTGCCGGAAGCTTTAGAACGCTGGCCAGTCCACCTCTTGCAAAATCTGCTCCCAAGGCACCTGGAGATCATCTATGAAATTAATCAAAGACACCTAAATGTACAGTCAAAGAGCCTATATCAAGCATTTATCTCCCCCCTCATCTTATGCTAATCATTTATTTTACTTCTTGTATTGCAAGATGCTTGTGTTTTATCTTTTTCTTTTGTTTTGCTTTTTTTTCATTCATCATATTTTAAAGTATTATTCCGGGATAGGCAAAAAAATCATCCATTCGTACACCACACTACACAAAACACTAAACAGTTAATACATTTTGTGAAATTCCTTACCATTGAACAGAAAAGTCTAACTAAATTTTCAGGAACTCATCTCTGTAATTCAAAAGATAACAGCATCTGCTTTGCCAAGGAGAAAGTGTAACAGCAGGGATTACATCATATCCTCGCAATTTACCCGCAATTTTGCTACGATTTTATCTCAATTTTACCCATGATTTTGCTGCGATATTACCCACAATTTTACCCCTGATTTTATCATGTTTAGGGTGCGTTTTTCATAGGTCATGTCATTAAAAAAATGCATCAAAACCGCAAGACGTGTATGTTTTTGATGTTTTTCCTGCATTTTTAATGCATTTCAGGCCTGGTTCACACAAATGCATTTTGTCCATTTTGCAGTGCGTTGTGTTTTTGACTTTTTTGCATTTTGCACTGTTTTAATTTTTTTTTTGGCCAACTTGTAGCTGGGCAGAATAAAAATGCAAAACACATCAAAAATGTAACGTGTGCTTTTTAAGTGGTTTTGATACGTTTTCAATGCATTTCAGGCCTGGTTCACACCAGTGCAGTTTGTTTTGTCCATTTTACCATGCTTTTTACAGTGCATTTTGCATTTTTGCATGCACATTTTTTATGCATTTTTTTAATGGTTTTTTTTTTTGGCTTGCTTGTTGCTGGGCAGATTAATATGCAAAACACATCAAAAACATAACGTGTGTGCATTTTTGTTGCACAAAACGCATAAAAAATGCATCACAAACGTAAAACGCACTGGAAAAAGCACTGCAAAATGGACAAAATGCAAACTGCATTGGTGTGAACCTGAAATGCATTGAAAATGAAGAAAAAACACAAGTGCAGCAACATTTTGGGTAAAAATGCAGCAAACTAGCAGGTAAAATCGTAGCAAGATCCGGTTAAAATCTCATCAAAATTCCAATTAAAATTGAGACAAAATTCTGGGTAAAATCATGGCAAAATCGAGAGTAAAATCGCTGCACAATTACAGGTAAAATAACAGCAAAATTCTGGGAAAAATCACAGGTAAAATCGCTGCAAAATTCCAGTTAAGATGGAAAAATTGTAATAAAATCATTACAAACTCGCAGCAAAATCACAGGTAAAATGGTGGGTAAAATGGGAAAAAATTGCAGTAAAATTTCAGGTAAAATCACAGAAAAATTCTGGGTAAAAATGCTGCAAAATCTTGGCAAAAACCCATGTACAATCGCAACAAAATTCTGGGTAAAATTGCTCCAAAATCACGGGTAAAATCACGGGTAAAATCACAGGTAAAATTGTGGCAAAATCGGGTAAAAGTGCAGCAAAATGCCAGGTAAAATTGCGGGTAAATATTTCTTTTTGTTTGCCTATATATCGGTGCATCCCTAGTATGTATAGCATATACACTGTCACTAGTGGGGGAGGTGCAGATAAGGTGCTGAAGCTATGGGAGGCAAGACAGACCCAGAGTGTCCTGAGCTGCCATTCTTAGAATACTGCCTGGGTGGAAAGTACAGATCGGGAGTCTGACTCCCCCCACTACACTGAGCAGGAAGGAAATACAGCTTCCTGGAGGAAGAACTACAGAGGGGCTGTGCCAAGACAAGTAGCTGGGAAAATGGGAGGCATAGCAGCTACTGGTCTTACAAACAGGAAACCACAGGGTATTAATGGTTTTATTTGAAAATCATCAGCATATTTCAGAGCAACTGAGTGAACCATAATACGAAGGACATATTCAGTGAAGATAGGAGATCAGCAGCAAGGAAATAGAAAAAAGTGTGTGCCCGGAGTTCTGCTTTAAGCTAGTTTTTATTTCTTTACTGCCATAGTGCACTTACATTTTTCATGTGTAACTCTTTCAGCGTGTCTCTTCTTTGTTCCCTGGAGATAATGACCGCCTGAGCAGAATGTCTCTTGTTGAGGAGGGGTCAGTTAAGCGCATTAATATGGCCCATTTGTGCATAGTTGGCTCACATGCTGTAAATGGTGTTGCCCAGATCCACTCAGACATTATCAAAGACACAGTGTAAGTAAAAGTTCCTAGAGCACCAAACACTTTAATGTTGCATATCTTTAAACATTTTCATTGTATTTTGCAGCTTTCATGATTTCTATGAAATGGACCCCCAAAAGTTCCAGAACAAGACTAATGGCATTACTCCCCGTCGCTGGCTGAGGCTGTGTAACCCAGGTCTTGCTGAAGTCATAGCAGAGGTAAACAGTTTGCAGTGTATTTAACTAATATTCTAAAAAGTGCACAGACCCCTATAAAAATAAATAATTGAACACTTTGTGTAAATTACATGAAAAGTGAAAAACAATATATTCACACCAAAATAATCAATATATAAAAAATAAGGCAAATCATAAACACAATTGGTGAAAAAATATGGATACAAAAGTCCACTCCCAATGTCCAAATTAAGGCCCCAGAGAGCAATTGAATATATATATATATATATATGTGTGTGTGTTGTGCATAAATCTATCATTCCATCATGCAGTGTTCCCAGTCCAGCGATCAATAGTGCTTAGACACTCATATAAGGTCTCGGCAAAATTCACTGCCACCTTCTGGTCACATCCCATCAATCAACAGTTTAACAGGGTCACCAACTCTCATGGATCACTGATCCTCAATCACACACGTTCCATGACCAAACAGCTAAGGCCCTTAGCTGTCTGGTTATGGCAGATGTGCAATGGGGGATTGATGATCTAGTACCCACAGTCATTTTAAAATAGCACAGGGAACACAACTTTTTTTTTAAACGGTCCCAGGACTCAGTGGCACCTGTAGGTCTCCGCTGCTGTGATGGTTTGAAATGCCAGCTGTCAGCAACTCTGAAGCAGTAAGTTTATGAGCTTTGGATATTACTGCATAGGGATAAAATTCAGGTTCGGTGCTGCCATGGTTTTGAGGTGTACCCTGTGTGTATGAAATTCAGGGTCCTGGCAAATTTATGCAGGCAATTGCCAGACCCAGTTCATTGTAATCTTAATGCACTGCCTGGCCTTTTGAACTTCGGTTAGCTAACTTACAAAGTTTTCATACACGAGACTTTTAAAGGCCAAGTTCACCTTAAAAAAAATAATATTAATAATAATAAATGCAGGTCTTTTTGTAGGATTAAAAAAATGCTAATGTATTTATTTTTAAAAATAGAAGCCTGTAAAGCTATGCACCTACGATCAGCAGATTGTGGGTGCAGTATCAGGTTCCTCCAGACTGTCAGTGTAGCTCTCTACCTGTACCTCGTACTCGCAGGCAGTTACTGAATTGCAGTTAGAATCAATTAAATACTAGAGCACTCACCAGCACCCTTGTAGTTTATTGAGAACTACAAGCTGTCCACCGCAATGGTTGATGGTATTTGTAGTTAGATCATTCACAGAAATTTGTAAAATGAATGATGCGGCCAGGTGGGTGGAGCACTGTATGGTCACACTTTTTTTTTTAATTGTGACAGTGGGTGCAGGAGGAGGTTCAGGGGGGTATGGGTGCTGCTGATTTAGTAACATTTACATGAGATACGCCCTGAATAGGGGTGCAGCATGTAACACGTTATGAAAGGTGAACTTATCCTTCAAGGTACTTTTTGTAGCAAGCGTTCACACAGAGATAGACGCAGTTCAACCATTTTGTTAAGCATTCTCCATGTTGTCCCATCATCCTCCCTCCCTCTTTGTTCATTTACAGTGACATGTGGCCTGAGTGATGAGAAGTGTTACAGGAGGCTAAAACACAGCAGGAAGCTCCGAGCTATAACACCCCCAAGGGAGCTGGGACCTCCCTGTCTAAAGAACCTGTGCAATCTGGCACATCATAAAAAGATATCCCAAGCCTTCCCCTGAGTTCAAAGACGTTCTAGAGGAGTAAGGAACTAGATAACACTTTTAAAATCCATTTTTCCCTTATGTCTCATATCTTGAAATATGAGAGACTTACATAAAAACCAGGCATATCTTCAGATTGGCCACGATAAGACAAATCGTTTGATAGGTCACACTCCCTGACTGGAATACCTAGGAGAGCAGAAAGTACATCTCTTGAACCCTTCAAGTATGTATTTCATATGTAACCGTTCCTCAGATGCGTCTGCATATTAATCTACCCGCGGGTGGGATGGTACTTGTGCCTAGGAAAAGTTATGAGCCAAAATATGAGCTATGAGATATTTTGGTTCTAGTTTGGGTCTCCGCCCAGACAATCCCTCCCCAAATCAGGCATTGGTACTTGGCTTTAGAGACACCCCCTGCTGGGGGACTACAAAATGGGCTTTCAGACCTAAGAGTGGAAGTTGAACAATTCTCCCTTTTTAACATCAGAACCACCTTGGGAGACCGTGCCCTTTTCGCTCTGAAACTTCATCTGCAAACCCAAGGCTGATTGGCAAGTACTTTAACCCTTTAACCTCCTTTCTGTTACCTC